CGCTTGTCGCCACGCTGCCGGAGGCAGTCGCGGAGCCGCTCTCGGGCATGCCGTGCCCTCGGCAGGGGGAAAAGCGGCACGTGCCGACACGGGCCGAGCCAGGAGCAGGTCCCAAACACGGTCCTCTAGCCCCTTGGCAAAGCCGAGCATCCTGCCAGTGCCGAGCAGGACGACTCTTCCCGTCCTGGGGCTGCCAATCCGAAGCTCTTCCCATCCTAGATACGCCCAGCGAGGAGGGAAAGGCTGAGCATTGACCTGAAGCAGTCAGGATGCTGTCAGGATGGCTCTGCCCTCTTTCTGCTTCCTATAGCCTTCTCTCAAGTTTCTTGCTCTCTCCACGCTCCGATCTGTTCATCGCTTAACGCCTTGCTCCTTTTCTTCCTCCCCAGGAGACAGGAGCAGTTCCAGACAAACCCCGATAGCTACAACGGGGCCGTGCGAGAGAATTACGCCTGGTCCCAAGACTACAGCGACCTGGAGATTAAAGTGCCGGTGCCCAAGCACATCGTCAAAGGCAAACAGGTATAATGGCTCGAGCAGTTTGTCTTTCGACATCTCCTTTTCCCTCCGGGTGCCCAGCTTTCCTGGGAAGCTGCTTGGAGCGGGAGGCCGTTGTGCCTCATTCTCTAGCGCTGGGCGTGTGGCGAGTAGGGACTGACCCAACCTTGCCACGTTCCCATTGCGACTGCCGTGTCCTATCGCTCCGGGCCCCGACGTGGTTATTTCCTCCGCTTCCACTTGCTGCAAACCCACGTGCAGGTTCTGAGCTCTGCTTCCCTCCGAGGCTGTCGGACCACACGCACGCTGACGGCGAGGCTCGTCTTCTTTGCTGAGGTGTCCCAAGGCAGCGCGTTATCCGAGCTGCTCCTTCCCTGGTTAGCCCAGCTGCCGGAGCAGGATAGTTTAGGGATGGATGCTCCTTCCCCAGTAGCTCTCTCTGGCTTGGAGCATCTCATGCCTTTCGTTTGTGGTGGTAATTGCTGGAACAGCTCCTCTGTTCCTTGGGAATTGCAGGGATTGGAGCAGGCACGAGACCTGAGCCACGTCGTGGCTGTGAAAGGAGGGGATCTGGGACTGGCACACGGGCTGGCGAGCCGGCCATCCGCCCTCGCTGCTTGGTGCGGGGGCCAGGGTGGCCCCGCTTCCCTCCTCGGGCAAAGCAGGAATTTTTCTTCTTTCTTTCTTCATTTGTATCCACAAGCAGTCACGTTGCTTTTCCTTTGCCACTTCTGTTCCCTCCTGCCGCTTTTCTCCCTGCTCTCCCCTGCTGCTGCCCAAGCAGCGTCGCAGCCCAGCGCTGTGGCCTTGGCCTTTCACGCACCCACCCCTGAGGCTCATTTGCACCCGGCGGTCACTGGGGCAAGTGAGCGGCTGGGGAGGAGCGTGCACACAAGCGGGCTTGCGGACCCAGAAGTTTGCACTCTCTTTGCCAAGCGCTGCCCTCTCCCCGATCGATGCTGTATTTTTCCGTTTGGGAAGTACGTGCTCCCCCACCTCCCGTTCCCCTCCGCTTCCAGGGCGGCTGAGACGAGCACGCTCGGGTTTGCTCGCTGACTCCAGCCTACACAGCTCCCGAGCGTGCCAAAAGAGCAGGATTGGCAGCAGCAGCCTGGCCTGGAGGGGTGATGGAGCGAACGGCTGCCACGGGGACAGCAGGGGGACCATGAGCTGCCTCTTTCCCAGTGGGTCGCTGCGATAAAACCAGGCTGTTTCTTGGAAGCGTTCAGGGGTGCCCAGAGGGATGTTGCATCCCCTCTGTATCGTACCGCGGTCAGGATGCGTCCCCTTGCCCAGGGAAGTGCCCTTGTGCCAGGGAACTTGTGCCATTGCCAAAGAAATTGCCTCGCGCTTCGTCTACCCCGTCCTTTGCCACCCAGAGGCGCGGAGGCCTCGCACGTGAGACGGGACGCGCTGCTCCAACCTCTCTCTCCGCAGCTCAGTTTTGACTGTTTGGTGGTGCAGATACCTTTGTCGCCAGCAGCCCAATTCTGCCACGGAGGCGAAATCTTTGTAAATGGCACACGCTGAACCGATGTCCCTCGAGGTGCCAGGGCTCAGCGCGGAGCGGTCCCCGAGGGCTCTGCCTCCTCTCTGCCCCAGACGTGATGTCAGCGCGGGAAGGCTGGCGAGAGCTGCTGCGACTCGGCCGTTTCCTCGGCTCTGATTTTTCTCTGCCCGGCCCTCTCAGGGCCATCGATTTTCTTCCGATGTTTTGACTTTCCTTATCCTTGGGAGGTGTCTCCTGATGTTTGATCCGTATGTCCCTGTTCGGGTTCCTCTTGGTTCCTTGCAGCTGAGTTTTCGTTTTAAAGAGATTCTTTAAAGTCTCTTCCAGCCTTGGGGGGACTGGAAGCAGATAGCCTGGATCACGGGCCAAAGCAGGGCGGTTCGAAGCAATTTTGGAGCTGGATAGACTTAGGGCTTGTTATTGATGGGCTCCTGCAAAACAGAAGCATTCTCCTACCGTTCACCACGCGTTCGTCTTTTTTAAAAATTATCAGTTTCTGGCCTCTGCCTGCCAAGGCAAGATTGAAAATCTCCCCCGTTTGGTCCCTGGGCTCGGAGCGCGCCAAGCGCTAATGCCGCTCAAAACGTTACTTATGGCACTTTTTGGATTCAGGCTGTTGCTATGGCACATTTCTGCTCGGGCAAGCTGAAGGCTTCCCCGTAAGGAGCTCCGCAAAGTGTCCGCGGAGCAGGAACGGGAGATGGGGTAGGTGGAAGCATCTCCCTTTCCCGTCTCCACCGCTCTGATCTACTTAGAGAGGCAACGGGGGCCCGTAGAGCCGAGCGCTTCCCCAGCGCTTAAATAGAGATAATGACACCATCCTCTCTTTCTTGCCTGGCTCGGAGCCCCAAGAAATTCCGGGGGTGGAAAGCGGCGGCAGCGAGCCGAGCTCTGCGGCGCCTGGCGAACGCGGGCCCGGCCGGGCGTTTCGAGGGGCAGAGGTGCTCGGTGGGGAGCGCGGGGCGCACCCGTGGGGCGTCCGCCGCCCTGCAGGCGCCCGATGACCCCCTGGAGCGAGGATGCCGAGCGGAGGTGATTTTTCCACCGAGGCACCCACAAAGGTTCGCCTGGCATCGCTCAGGACGGGCTCCAGAGCCCTCCGAATCCGGGGCGGGGGGAACGGCGTGCCAAACGTGGCCTTTTCGCTAGATGCAGATAGCGGTGGATATTCCGATTGCTTCTCACCCTGATTCGTCCTGCAGCGGCTGGATGAAGGCTGCCCTATTTGGAGCTCTTCTTCCATTTGGGTTTCTCTGCTGCCTCTCCAGCCCCTCTTCCCTGCCCTCGCCTGCCTTCGCATCCCACTGGTGCCGTTTGAGATGCGAGGAGGCATATTCGAGTTGCTTTATTAAAAACAATAATCTTTTCCTGGCATGTTCCCTGGCCCCAGCCTCCTCCTCAGCATCCCTAATCGTGTTTGAAACGTTGCAGCAGATTTCCTCTGGTCCTGGATTGCTTGTCCAGACCTGGTTACTACCTAACGTCTTGCTGTTCCCGGAGGTCCCTTGAAGACGTCCCTCAGCCCCGAGTGCTGGCTTGTGCAGTTACCTCCAAATAAAACACGTCTCCGATTTAACCCTTCCCTTCCTCGCTGGATCCCGCAGCTGCGATGCTGTGCCGTCGGGAGCTCCGAGGGGTCCTTGGCGTCGGCCCCCTTCTCCCTGACCCTCCGTGCCTCAAAGAAGCCCCCTAGAAGATGACTTGGGGGTCACCTTGCTTGGCCACATGCCGTGCTGAGATGCCGGAGTCTGCAACTACTCGTGCCGTAGGAGCGGGGCCGTCGGTGGCCACGAGCAGAGCCCGCTCCACGTGCCTCGTCCCTGCTGCCTTTCCAGAAACTCTTCC